TTATTAGTATCAGATTACGGTTTTTTAGTAGGCCTAAAATAAAAGTTAGGATGAAAAAGTGGAAATTAGGCTTATATAGAAAACAATATTAAGTTGCTTCTTGGAGATTTGTGTTAGGTAGGTTGTAGTCCGCGATAAATAACAGAACTTAACAATACTGTTAAGTAATAAAAAAGGTAAATTATATTAGAACTCCATATGTGCTGATTTCAATGATTTACCATCACAGGAATATCGTATTTTCAATTTATATTTACGTTTGACTTTTTATGAACTAAATGAAACCCAAAATAGGTACTTATTGATGTAAAATTTTTAACATCGTTTTGAGACATTTTTTTTAAATTTTTGTAATTTTTATTGTTAATAGTTTTTATTATAAGCATATTAAAATATATTTTCAATGACACAAGTCTCTAAGTTAATTGTAAAACTTGAGCTTGGGTCGAAAAGAGACACTTTAGGCCCTAGTGATGAAATATACTATTTCGTCATACTGCTGCAAATACAGCTGTTTTTTATACATTCGTTGTGGCTCAAAAGTAGTATATTTAATACCTAGGGAGTAAAAATCAGCTGTTGTAAACAGTTTTAGATTGCGATTGTAGCAATTGCATGGATCGAAATTATTTATCGATTGATTTATTAGGTAAGGTCATAACTTATTGATTCATTCTTGCCAATAGTTCGACATATCGTATTGTCTATCGAATTAACACGCTTTTTGTACAATAAAGCTTACAGTCTCCAAGGAGAAAATGAACCTCATGCACTCAGGGACGGACTTGTATCGTGTTTAATTTCCCCAGAGCTGTTCGGAATCTTCAATTTCGTCCCAGGTTTTAGTCTGTTTTAGCTATAGTTAGTCTAGAGTTTTGTGAGTTAATTCTGGGTTTTAGTGATAGAAAATAATTATGGTTTTGGGGGTATCCAAATTTTATTCTTTAATAACTGGTTGTTGTACAAAAAATGCAATTAAATTAATATTTTTTTATTTTGGCTTTTTCACACGAGAGCGTTGACTATCACATTTGACCAACTTTAAGTCGAATAAAAATGAAATGATAAGGAATTAAATACGATATTACTAGAGTGTTAGCTTTACAAAATGGAAAATTAGTTTAGTTTAGTAGTTAATCGACTTTCATAGACTTGTCATAAGGCTACTTGTTGCTAGACTGCCAGAGGTTAACGCGTTCTGAAAGACCACCATGCTTAAAAATTGAAGCCTTAATAGTGGTTGTGGAAAAAACAAAAAGTCGTTAATAATTGTGACTTAATTTTTACCTCCTAAATTTTTAAATATCACTAAATATCTTTTGGAAATACGATAATTTACTGACACTATTTTTACGTGTACAAATGATAAGAAGAAGTATTGATCAATAAATAAAATACAAGCTGTTACAGTGAAACTTTTAACATAAACAATTAACAATCAAACTCAACACAACATACATACATATAATCAACTATGATCGTAGGAATTAATTGATAACCACTGCAGCAAATACACATAGAAATACTGCAAACCATTTTACAAAATTAAGTAATCCTATTTCAAAAGTGTTGAAATTAATATAGTTTAGAGAAAACGATTTAATCGCAAAATAACCTATAAATTTCTGGTAAATAGATGTAGTGTCGACTCCGTCGGTGTCATAAATTACGACCCCTAGGGACTAAGGTGCAATAACATCCAAATAAACATTGGAAAATGCAACATCAGCGGGAAATATCCATTAATTTCGGTGAATAGAGCATCATGTTTAAAAATTTATATTTCGATATCGCAAATTCAGCGCCGAATAAAATGTTGATTTAGGTAAATCTGAAAGCAAGGAACTGCATTGTGCTAAATCAGCGGATTTACATTGTATTGTCGCTAAATATTTCCATGATATAAAATTTCTCAATCGGTTCCAAAAGTGGTTAGTGATTATTTTACGAAATTGTCTTCGATTTAACTGTATTTTACTGCAAAAATAGCTTACGGGTTTGCTGAAATTAGTCTTACAAGATAATGACCTTACTTATTAATAAATATAATATATATCAGAGAGTGTTGATAGAAACTATGATTGATAGAAAATATTATAACAGTTTCTATCAAAACTCTCTGATTGATAACTAGAATAAGTGTAAAGGTATTCTGTAGTAGCATCTACAGATAGTAGTGTCTTGATTACAAAATACTATTAGTGTGACATATATTAGTAAAAGCATGATACATCACCATAGTTTATTTATCACAATCTTATTAGTCATATACAGGGTGATATAAGTGTGCCAGCTGTTTTATTCGAAAGTTACAAGAGATTAAATTTTTTTTTTTTATGTGGTCAAGTTTAAAGAACTATTTTAGCCACCATTTTTCAAATGGCTGCAAATTTTATTTTCCTTACGATATATTTTATGATTTATTCAGGCTATTTTTGATACAATGGGATCAATATTTTTGGTGTATTTTGTGGTATTTTTAGAATGTAGATGCATTAAAAAAAAAATATTTACTTTAAGCGTTTTTTCGTTCTAAGCTTACTTGTTTAGGAGCTACATAATGCAGAATGTACCTTACACAGCAAGTCATTTTTCTTAGTTATAACACGCTGTGCTCTTAAACGAGTAGCTTTAGGGAAAAGAATGCCAAGAATAAAATGTTTTTAAATTACGTTTACTTCCTACAAAATCGTAAAATACAGGGTCTTCCAAAATAATAGTTTAAGTTAGCGGCCATATTGGGACAGTTTTTTCATCTTGGCCAAATGTTTTTAATATTTCTTCTTTAATATCTCTTAAAGTTTTTTTAATATCTCTTGTAACTTTTGAATAAAACAGCTGGCACACTAATATCAATCACCCTGTATACATAGTAGTTTTCATAGTACTACTAAAATTGATAGTATCGTACCTTGATCACGATTCTTGTAGTGTGATCAAACGACGTTTCACATTGGATGCTTGAGGAACGTCAGCCAAAGTTTCATTTTATGTTCAGCTATCTACGTGTTCTCTCCTATGTTGGACGAGGGTGACACATTCCAATGCAATTTTAGGGTTAAATATACTTTTTGGCGACGTTTGATGTGTTCCAAACCCTTAGATAAAAATCTGTCTTGGTTTTGTACGTGTGTTTTAATTTGTAATACAATTTAAGACAATCGACACTCCATGAATAATATTTCTGTTTTATTCGTGAATTATTTCTAGCATTGTTACAATGTTATTTATTGGAAAAATTTACTAATATCAGAACAGAACTGGAATGGGTCATAAAGATAACAGATCACATAAACGGCCTAAATCCTATACTAACAACATTAACATATGGTTTGGACAGTTCCATTTAAGTAATGTTAAATATTATTGTCTTTCAGGCCAGTGACATAATTTGTTTGTGCTTATGATCCAAAACAGTTCCGTTCTAGTATTAGTGAAAAAATATTACAATAATCAAACATGTGTAGATGATATCACCAATTGATTTCAAGATGGAATTCTATCTATCAGCTGTTTAAAAATGTTTAGTTGGTGTTGTTTGGATTCGACATGCGAAAGTGAGGTATCCAAGGCCATCTTTGCTGAAATTCCTCGTCGAAGATGTACAAATGACCTTGAGCTAACGAGATAGACCGGTCTCGATGAGTGAGTGACCTTGACCCGTCAATGGGCTACCAGCTCCTGATGTTGGAGGTGATGCTCTGTTGTCGGAGACTTTATTATTTAATACAACCGGTTGTGGCACGTCTCACTAGAACTTCGAGTTATTTCACTTTACAGTAACAACTAAAAATGCTTCGTCTTATGTTTGAGCGAATTTCCGATGAATAAGAAATTACCTTAGGTCTGATGACTTGGACTTGACACCGATTTACATTAGTTTTCTGGTCCCTAGAGGCCAAAAACATCCTTCCAAATCCATATAGGTACCATATATCCGTAAACACGCTAACTCGAGCAAAAACTATTCGATTTTGATTAAATTTGTTATACACGTGTAAACCTAGATTTTTTCGAACGAATTCGCAAACCAGCATGATCGGACCATGGGAACGGGGATTTATGGGGCAAAAATTGGGTTTTCCCATTCCTGAACCTAAACACATAACATTTTCTAATTGATTTCAAAACAATTCTGTAAATAAACAAAAATTGAATTAAAAATTCTCATTTTATTTTTTTGAGAACAAGTAAACTGTTGTAGATTGCTTGCTTGATAATATATTGTAAAAATTTGGCAAAAAACTAACTTACCTTGTTCTTTAAATAGGGAATAAGCATGACAATTTTAATGAGATATTTTAGTGAAAATCCAACCAGGCAAACGAAGTTCACTTACTTTGCAGGTTTGCTGCGACGAGGGTATTTCCTTGTGTTATTTTTTAATCGCAATGTCTAGAATGTGTGATTAAGACTTACACTGTTAGTAACTTAAACGAAACGTATGCATTTCCCAAGTCTTTATTTAAAAGGATATTTATTTAGCTTTGTCTTTTTGCAAAAAACATGTCTTTATGGTATTATAGTATCTGGATTATTAATCAATATTAACAATGTGGTATATGCCTGTAGTAATCCAATGATCGTATTTGTTAGGCTACTAATTATGTTACCTTAGTGACGCATCATCTGCATGTACCGTACTTAGGTTAACGTATGTCTTCTTGTGCTTAAAATCGTTACCATTAGGTTTTACACCATTTTTAAACTAAACAATAGGCCTACTGTCTATGAATTTCAATCACGCTTATTTGTAAAGTAATTTGAGGTGTTTGTAGGTGTCGATATAGTCAGCAGTTTAGTGTACAGTTATTTATTTATAGTTTACATCCGAGTTCATTCACGTTGTGTTTATAGAGTTTAACATTATGTGTGTTATTGCTGTTGAGTGTACACGTAAGCGATCATTTTTGTTCTTAGCGGCTCACTCGTTAAGATTTTGGCATAAAAAGTGGCGATTGAAGAGACTCGGTAAATAGAAGCTCTGCAATTCTCAAGTTTCACGTAGAGTGCAGTAATTATAACCATTATTCACAATATAAAAGTCATTCAACAAATCATGATGTGATTAAACAAACTACGAGCTAAAGTATCGATAGTATCACAGTATTTGCACAAGGCAGTTCAGTCTACAGTTGATTCCTCATCATCTTGTGGCCAGCGCAGGTTCACAGTGTGCATTACCTGCATAGCCTCAACTACAAGGCCGCGGCGTTGATGTGGCAACGTCGCACCGGCCTGTTGCCATGGTAATGACAGTAATAACAAACGCAGACGCTCCATTATCAGTGCATCAGCTGTTGCCGGGACTGCGGTGTTGCCACTTCTGTCCAGCCGCGGTCTTGTTTAGAGGTGGCGTTGCTTGCACTGTATGACGAGTATCGATTATAGTACAGGATCATCGACGGGGTCAGAATGGATAATCTTCCAGCAACTGAGGGTGTCGCAACATTCTGGGAAGGCCGTCTGGGGCGCCCCCTGCACCACTTCACAGCCAGACTGTTCCCTGATGATCGGACACCTGGGGAAATACAGAGTTTGAAGTAGAACACGTATAAGAACAGAGAAGAAGAAAGAAATTGAGAAGTTTTTGAATGTTTACCTTTTGTATTCAACCCATATTGAAAATGAGGTAACCTGCTTTTTATGGTTGGCATTAATTTCGGTACTAAATTAGTGTTTATGCTGTACGTGGGCATAATATTAGCCTATCTACGGAAGTCAGTAAATTTAAATTTAACAAACTAAAAAGTACATTTATTTGTGTTCACATGCAAGTGGAAATACGAAATGTGTCGGAAAAATCTGTCGATTTGACAATACGCCAACCATGCGAACATTTACTTTTGAATTAAGATTAAATACAATAGAATGCCCATTTAAAAGAGTAAAGACTACATTTTATTCACACCTTTTTTAATATTCATTGAAAAAAAAAAAACGTTAAACTAATACTTATGCAAAATCTTATCCCTTCATGCCCAGGGTAGTGATAACGTTAATTAATTAAGCATTACAACCAATTTGTTCTAGTAAAACTGATATTGATTTAGAATATAACTATTACCGATATACTGTATTGAGCATTGATGAGACTTGGATATTAAACAAATTCTTAACATCACATAATTAATTAACAGCAGTTATAATCGCTGTACAACTTACGATTCCACTTGTATTCTTCCTCCCTTCATGCATGTTTTTCTCTCACATCTGACCTTGTCGTACCACACTCGTCCTAGTGTATAGCGTTGTGATCCTTCAACGCAGAACTCTGCAAAAATAGTTATTAATTATTCTTTTCCTACAACTGCATGGAAATTATTACATGGCCACAGCTGTAATTAGTACGCAAAATATATCATTGCCGTTCTAGTGCGGGAATGGATAATTCCCGCTCGCTTAATCAGCTGATTTCACAGTTAGCGTTTCTACTTTCTACACCGACGGCAGCCACGGCTCAGGTACGTTAACAACCAATAAGCCAATAACATAACAAAAAAGGAAAGAAAATGGAAACATAACCTAAATGACATTTCTATATACAACTTAAAAGTTAATCTGTGTGTTATGATAAGTTGATTATAGTGATAGGAAAATTTGTGTGTGTATTACGGTCATTGCCGCTCTCAAAAAGTATGACCGTTTACAGTTATCGAGCGGCAATTACATACTTTGTGCTCTAATACAAAAATAGGTATTTCATTCTATATTTTTTCTTGAGCCAAATCCTTATTTTGGTTTTTCATGTTGGGGAATTACAGTGATTTGCCTAAAAGGGAACAATAATTACATTTAATTATTCCGAAATTTAATTTTTGGTAATGGTGGTTTTATGGTGTTTGAGGAATTGTGGGCATTTTCCATCACCATCAAAAGACAAAGTAAATAGTAACAAAGTAAATGAATTATGTCAGTTTTTTATTGTATGTGATAAAAAATGTCCCAATAAAACCACAAACAAGGCTATTAAATTTAGCTAACCAATATTTTGACGTATTCACAGAACAAAAAGAAAAAAACTAGCGATTTTATCGTGACACGTTAACACCCAAGACTTATGAAATACATTCAGATGACACAAACATCTACGATGTTTTTGCTAAAAATGGTTTTCGCGTCTTAGGTAAAGGTTTCCCTTGTAAGATGTTATTAGCAAATTTGATTCTCTCCAATTAAGGACCTGAAAAATATATTTTATCTTTAGAAATGAAGAAAAAACACTTTAATTGTACTTAATTTACTTGATATCTAACTCATATTGCAGCAGTCTAATTGCTTTTGAAGAAATAAACCCCGTTTTGTATATATTTTCTTTGTAAAATGGTGTTCTAGGGAACTACGCTTAAAAAAAGAGTTGAACGGAGAGTGGAATAGCTGCGTCTTGGGAATATTAGAGGAAATAAAGCTCTCTTTTGTTTTACAAGCCTCAGGCTTTCTTGTCGTTTCTTAAAAATAAACACTCCTTATCGTTATAGCTTAATTTTCACAGAACTCTTAAGAAAGTGTTTGAATTAGGTACTTGCATGTTATACTTACATATACTTGGATGGATGTAAGGTTGTATATGTATAATCTTGTTAGTTTCACTAAAAACCCCTTTCTTTTGTGGTGTTCTGAAAAGTATTTTTTATGTATAACCATCTTAGCACGCTAGTTATACCTCGGAACTGGCTTACACTTTGCTTCAGCTAGTCCTAGAGGGCCACGTCATTATCACATGGATAAATTCCATTGGTGATTGGTGGGATTTGGACCCGGGACCTCAGTCTTTGAAGCCCCGCGCTCTTCTACTAAGCCAACTATGATCTAGCTGGAGGTCGCTAGTGTTCTGAATAGTAACCTTGAGTACCTTTTGTACTGTATTGAGTTAAAATTATTTTAATATTTATAATTTTGTAAATACAGCTCATCAATTCCTGGTAGTTTTCGCGTCCTGAGAACTATAGCCTACTAATCTTCGATCTTTGTACCTGTGGTTGGAAAAATTTAAATTCAGCTGCGTAAAATGATTGGCCACAGACTACTGCGTCGTAGCATCATCTCTTCGTTAAATTTATTGGTGATTGGCAAGATTCAATCCCCTAACTCTAACTACTTAAAAACACGCTTTACTATTTGTATCTGGTACTGTTTATGTACTTCAACGTGAAGATTATATATTTTCAAGTTAAGTTTCACCAAATGTAATTAGTTGACCAAAGGAGATTCTGTTCAAAGTCCTAATTTGATTACATCTGGATACCACTTTGCTTTAATTGCAGCATTGTAACCGACCCGGCCCGTACAAGACTCTAGTTGACTTTAATTAACTTTCGTGCAATCAAGTTTCGATTTTAAATACTTTGTCACACGAATTCCACCTTTGATCTATATTCTCGTGAAATTTTACATTGAGTGCTTAATGCCACTGATGGATCTAACATCTAGATTTCAAAAGATAACATTTTATAATGTAGTCGTAGTGTACCTAATTAATTATACTCATTAAAAATATCAATGTTTGAGTACAGTCAGTAATCAAACATTGGTTGGGTGTTATCGTCAAAAGTATTCTCTTAAAATATACTTATATTTATACACTCAAAATATTTGAATATAGGTACGCATTTAAAATTTTGTATCGCAATTTTATATAAGAATAAAACAATAATTAAAAAGTAACTGTTATAGTTAGTTGAAACTTACCTTTTTTGCATGTAAAACTTCCCAATTGCTTAACGAAACCTGCCAAAGTAGCGCCCATGGTAATACTACAAAGATAATTTAAAGGAAACACAAGCTTCTTTACATCGTTGCTTACTCATGACAACATTCTCGTCTTGAATGAAACATGTTTTTGATAACAGAAACTAATAAATTATCATACACGGCCACTAACTTATTTGTTACTTATTGTGATAACACGTTTTAATAGAATGTGTTGAAGAAATCTAATATATACATCTGAAATATTTTACCAATCGATTTCCTTAATACTGTTTACACCTATTGACAAAGTGATAGGTATTCTAAAAAATATTACCAAGATTTTGGCATTTTTCAAACGTTTAATCTACGTTGATTTTTTTTGCATGCCTAAACTTGCTTTCAGACAATTTAAAAGTGAAAATATCATGTTTGAACACATCAAGAAGTCAGTAACCTCTTCCTTATGATTTTATAAGTAGAAATACATTACTGTAAATTAACTGGAAATGTATAAGATATTCTGAAAATCCGATATATCAGAGAAACCCTTTAAAATGAAGGCATTTTTGTGTATTTATCATATCTTCATATAGGAACACATTTTAAATTTAATGCGAGAAAAACTATAAATAATAAATCGGTTCTTTCTTATATTAGCATTTATTTAAAATATTTTACTTGTAACAAAATTTGAACAATAAATTATTTTTGTAATTACTATACCGGTTCTAAGTATGTTAAAAATACGGAAGATTCATACAAAAATATCCAATGTCTGGTTTGGAGTTCGATATCGTTTGATTTTTCAGTCACTCATCGTCACATTTAACACCGGGTAGATTAATATATCCCAATTAGAAATCAAAAACTAAATGTTAAATATAGTTTATTTGATTGTTGAATTAGTTCACTTATAGTATATATACATGTATGCAATTTGTATTATTCATATTTATATGCAATGAAGGTATTTTTAGGCATTTCACAAGCTACAACATATTAATGTTTAACATCAATACAATATATTCCATAGCTCGTAAAAAGTAACAAATAAATTCATAACAGATTTAATAGTCCATTTTATAAGTTATTCAACCGATATTTAATTTGGAGTCACTGTCACTGTCCGATGAGCCTCTAGGTATTGGCTCACCATCGAAGCCGCACATCATGTATTGTTGGGTTTTTTCGTCGTACCATTTATCTCCTTGGTTAAAGTATTCACCATCTACGTAACAACCACCTGTAAACACGACCGTAACATTAATAACTATCCTATGAAAGAATGTTTATAAAGTTAACTAGCTGTTAACCACTGGCTTCACCCCGTTTGACTTCATAAGTGTTAATGAAACTATTGATTGGTTAAGTTAAGCTGAAATAAATAAAACATGATACAGTAATACAAACAGATAATTACTTCTGAGTTTAATAAGGTGATAAATTAAAAGAATAAAAAATGGAATAAGTACAGCTGAGGTATTTAAGGTGTATGGAAAGTTCCCTTTAGAAGGAATTACGACCTTAAAGGGCAATTTATGAAATAATTGATAGTTTTGCGCAAGGTTTCCCGTCATGACAAACATTTTAAGTAGCCTATATGGTTAAGGGGGTGTGACTTGTAGTTTTCTCAAAAGTTCATGGGTACTTGGGATTTATATATGGATGAAGTTTAAGTTGGGTGAATTTTGTTCAAATACATTTTCAGATATATTTGTTTAAGATATTACAAAAGCTTGGCCTCGCTTAGTATTGATGCGCAAAAGTAACAAATTAAAATTTGTTTTATATTTTTAGAAACAAATTTAGACAAATTTAGCCAAATTTACTCGTTCTAAAGCGGTTTGTGGCAGGCACTTTAGTGAGGGTTTAGTTGAATAGTGCACAATCTTTACTACTGCTAAAAATTGATAGATATCTATTTTATGTAAATATCGTCGCTGCAGCTAACATGCAAACGAATCAAATTTCCATTAATTTCGGTTGATTTGATTTTTACTGAAGTGTGTTCTTAAGCTTTTTAGATTTACTCCATATTTAAATAACATCATATTTAATGAGTAACTTACCAAGGTTTTCCGTTACGGGGAAAGAAGTGTTTTTGAAAAATGTAATAGTATAGTAGGCCCAATATACAAATCTATATCTATAAAAGAGGAAGTATGTATGTATGTACCCTGTGGACTCTGAAACCACTCAACAGATTGCAATGACATTTTCAGCCATAATTAAGAATTATTTAAGGACTAGGTGAAACCCGTCGAAATCGACGGTTAGGGGCCTCCTCGTTATTTAATATAATTATATGGTCGTGTGGCTTCATTGGCCATTTAAATATGGAAAGGTCAAAAAAAGAAGGAAAGGAAAGGGAAAGGTTCAAATCATAAGGTGAACATGGGAAACTCCAGAGCCACTGGGGCGGAGCCCGAGAGTCCGATCAGAATAAAAACTACTTAGTTTTCCTATTTGATGCCTAAAGAATCGGTGTACCAAATTTCAGCCTCCTAGGTAAATGGGAAGTGGGAGAATTAGTGATGAGTGAGTGAGTGAGTGAGTCAGTCAGTCAGTGAGGGCTTTGCCTTTTATATATTTAGATAGAAGATAGATGGTTTGTGTGAAGTTTGGTGCAGATCCGTCAAAAGCGTTTGCCCCAGTAGCTCTGGAGTGTCCCATGTTAACCTTATGAGTAGGCTACTTATATTTAAATAGAATTAAAGAATCTTAACAGCTTTTTCAACAAAAAATTTGATTCTGTGATGATTAATAGCATTAAAAGGTTACAAGATGTACCAACAGGATGCAGCACTATTAATTGTCTAAATTTATGACAACAGATGCTAATTTCAACCAAGCAGCTGTGATACAAAATTAGAACTGTCAAAGTAGGATTGATTACAGTTATGTAGATTATGTTTTTAATTTAATAAATAATTTTTTATAGTGTATGAGTAAAGGGTTTTATTTTTAAGTGCGTAATTCATAAACTTATTGACTTTCTTTTTTCCAAAATGTTTATAAAAACCTATGGTTTATTTCCCAAAAAATAATGTCTGGGAAACGAAAGTAGCCAGTTAAATTTTTTGGGTAATACTTTTAGTAGATTCCTAAAAGTGTATCTACACACATCAGATCTATGGAATAATAATCATTCTCTTAAGCGTTCTCTTCCCGTTGCGAAGTACGGGTATGGTGGCTAAAAGTACAGTATTAAGTTTAAGTAGTATATTCATAAATAAGAAAACTACAGCAGTTTACTTTTTCCAAAAACAGTGTCATGGGATGTACTGTATAAATGTACAGTTTTTAGATTAATCTTTTTAACCATTAATATAAAAAGGTTTACTAAAGTTAAGTTAAGTGTAATTAAGTTTAATTAAAAAGCTAATATTAAAATTTATGGTTCAATATAAAAAGTAATTTGTTTTGTCAAGCTCACTCGATGATGTTAATGGAAGTGGGGCACATTTATGTTTGGAGGGCCAAGATTTGATAGAAAACCAATTTTAAAATTTTTAAAATTACTCATCATGGCGTTTTGCATGCTCAGAGAGTATGCATTGTAGGCCTACGTTTCTGTATTCTACTTTTCTATAAATAAATTCTTTAAATAGTTGATTTATTTTAAACTTGAATCAGGATCACGCCTGGAAACGCAGTTTTTAATCTTTCTCAGCATAAAAGCAATAATTTACTCTTATGTTTTAATGTTTTCTGATACATTGAGCTTGCGAAAACGCCTTGTTAAGTATATCATCTTTGACTAATAAGACTAAACCTTATAGACAACAATGCAATAATGCATATCAGATGGTATGAATCGATACCTTAAGATACCAGTGATAAAGTAGAGAAAACAAGAATACCAAATTATAAACAAGTTTTGTATGTAAACAGCGCCTCTCAATTTTGTAATTTAAACTGCGTATAAAAACCCGCGTATTTTACGTTTTATATGGTCGCCTCTATTCAATTCATCTATCATGTTTAAATTATATATTTAACTTTTTGTACTATAGGTTGTCTTGCAACACGATTTTTCTCAAGTTTCCAGAGTTAGATACCAAAATTCAGTTTCGAAAATTATATAAAAGTTATTTATTACAAGATTAATTGTTTTATGTACCTGAGCCAAAGAAATACCTCCATAGAGCTTTGAATGGGGTCAATATAATATTACCCATTTAAAACATACTGAAAAAATAAACACCTAATGAAATTATTACAACAGAGAAGATGCTAGGTAGTATATGTCTAACGGAAGCAAAACTTGAAATGTTATGAAATACGTTATCAACTAATAGAATGGCTGATAAGACGGTTGGATTTTTGATCAGAACAATTTTAAAACGAATGTTATTACAGTAGAGATAGAGGTTTTTTTATTATGCTATCCCGCCGCAACAAACCTGCAGACTGAGCGAATTTCATTCCTGATTGGATTTTCACTTAAGTGTTTCCTTAAACATGTCATATTTATTTCCTTGTTCAATGGAGGCAATAATTTGTGTTTTTAAAGTAAAATGTTAATAGCTTAAGGTAAAATAAACAAATCTTTGGCACAATAGAATATTTTCTATTATCGACGAAAGACTAGACGACCAGTTCCCAGCGTTTACTAGTCCAGTCGTGTATACTAGTGGAATAGTTTCAAGTTTGAAATCCCCCGTCAACAAGCCTGGATTAACCCTGGAATTCTAAATTCATTGGTTGGATACCAGGGGCAAAGCGAATTCTGGGAAAATATGCTCGGGAAGTCTTTCTGCAAAGGGGTTCTTTTCGTCATAGGTTTTGAGTAGTACTTATAATATAGAGGTGAAAGTATATAACAGAAGGACTTTTGATAAGACTAGACTTACTATGTTAAAGCTCTTGTCAGTTTTGGAATCGAAATGTACTTACTGTGGAGTGCACTAATATAAATTACTGATTTCCGACGAAAAAGCCAAACTTTTAACCATGTCAATCTAATAGTACGACCCTTTGTAAACTAAGGAATAGACTTACCAACTAGAAGATTTCTGATGAATTCATTGATAAATCTGATGCTTGTTTTTCATGTCTAGTTCATGTTGGGGACGCAATGCCGCGTGCCGAGTGCAACCAGCGCCGAGTGCAACTAGCGCCGAGTGCAACCAGCGCCGTGGCCAAAGCCGTGCATCCAGCGCCGTTTTGTTTGATAATTCTAATAATGCAAAAGTGACGTGGGGCATATTAATTTTACTTGACTGCGTTGCATTTAAAAAGTGGCATTTAATAAATTGCTATTAACTTTTGTTGGTTAGTCTATGCTATTACAATGTAGTTCACTACTACACTTTCCAAAATAAACGGTATAAATAATCTGACACATACTTTCTTCCATTAGCTTGTCAACAAACTTTATCATGGGTAACTATGATATTTAATATGTAAAATTAAAAAATTGCATTAACTTTTGAACCGTAATTTTTACAGGAATGGGTTTCCTTTATTTTGTTTAGAATTTATAAGGATCATAACAGACAAACTTTAATCAGAACAGGTTTTTTTAAATACGATTTTATTTTATTTATGATTTGTTTATGGGTAAATAAGTCACTATAACCATTTGAAGAATTTTGTTTAGAATATAAAGGACTGTTCGGACTATTTTCGACCAAACTCGATCTATCCATTACTTCTTGGATTTTTATGGAAAATTCTTAATTAAAAACCGAATTCAAGAAAATGAACAACATGAACAAAATGAAACAACTGGATATACAACTGGATAGTACAATAATCATGGATCCAAAAACGTCACCTACATACAAAATATCGTCAAAATCGGAATACAGGAGTGGTCTGTAGCTCAGGCCCCACGGATACGAACACACATCTATTCGAAAACCACTTTATTGTGTTTTTGTGCGGCAAAACGGATATATCCACTCAAAAACGTCAAACTCGAAAATCTTGACGAAAAAAATACTTTCTCCATATACTATGTATAGGGGGAGAAAGTAAAAAATTGACGGAACAAGTATTATAACACCGCATGTGGTATTGAGTTAGTATGGGTATATTTTTGTAAATTAGAATTAACATAGCCAACGAAAATTTGTACATATCAAATTACTACTTCGATTCTAAAGGAAGCACTTAGTTTAATGTGGAGTTAAAATATATCCACACTAGTAAACCACATGTTACTGTAATATAATTCACGTTTCATTTCAATCGGACGGGACAGGACGCCATGTTTTAATGTAAACACAACTGTCGGTTTACACATCAAACATAGAATTATTTAATTGTATCTTAGTTTAAATTGTGGTTTTTAACTTTTTACTTGAGAAAATATTTACTGAATTTTGAATAGTGACCCGTGTATTATTGAATAATTGGTTTGAATGAAATCTACAATATGTTCAAGTCACTATTGATCCGTAGATGAGTTATTTTCCAATCCAGGACTTCCAAAAGAATGACTGATGAACATTTGAAAAACATCGGTTTGATACATACACAACTTCACGATCAACGTTTAATATCACATATTGAAATGGATTCGTTGAAATTAACTGTCAATCAATACACATGATGTTGTAATAGATGTAAATTGGTTTTGTGAATATTTTCATCCAATTGGTTGATTAGTAAAGTTCTTGAATTCAAAATTTATTCTATGATTAGATTTGCAAGAAACATGTTTCTTGAATCAAATTAAGATGTTCAAATTTATATTGTTTTCCAGAACTAAAATTTAGACAACAGTGCATGACGTTTATAAACGAGTAGTTTGTGGAAATATTTGCAGTTTCAAAACGAATATTTTAGAGTGTTTCTTTTTCATGCAGTATAATATGGTGCCTGGTACGAGTTTTGCGCTTAATTTAATTATTATAATTACACAAACATGTACGTCAATACTACAACATATGGTGTGGTTATTTTCATATACAGCAAGGTCACCATTTCAGTCGTGTTTTAAAACCTGTAGCAGTCATACATAGTTGTACTGAGCGTCCAACCCAACCATCTTGCAACAGAGGTAACGCTAGACGTTAAGATGTTAGTTTTGCCGTTGTTGACATTCTTTACGTCTCTACAAGTGGTGACTTCACAACCTCCATCCTCTTCTGTCGCGCAAAACTTTGCCAACAACCTAAAAAATAAATATTTGATTTCGTGTAATCGATCAAAGGATTGTGGACGTACTAAACATTGGACATTGACATTTGAGGGCGCTGAACATCCTGAACGAATCGAAGAACAGGTACAAACCAATATTGATAGATATTCGATTGAATTCAAAAAAGTTCTTGTACATGTTAAGTCATATTTTATTATCGGCAGGAGTAAAAGCGATTTGGAAGCATTGTTTAATGTGGAAATTGAGTTGAGAATTGTAAGAGTCAATGACCGTAGTTGTACCATAGAGTTTAACGTTCTTGGGGGGGCGTGGGACTTTCGCTTTTATTTCAGAAGAGGCGATACTCCACTGATCACGGATGACAAATTGATAACTGATCTCAACAATATTGCTTTCTCAAAAGCATACAAGGACAAGTTTAATCAATGGTTACAAGAAGCAAAAAATAAGACACCATGCGAATGAACGGTTGAAAATCTTTGTGAGCTGTAACATTAAACCACTTCATTGAAAAACGCTTGTTTAATATACCACCTTAACCATGACCGGATTAAAAATAGAGCTTGTGCAAATATATATATATATATATATATATATATATATATATATATATATTCATTATAATAGCATAATGTTCAAACATTTCAGCTTATTTTACAAATCTTTTTCACTTTTTGAGAATTAACATCGAGAGTGTCAAATTTTCCCTCGATGATTAAAAAATTATCTAAAATCACTAGAATTGTTCAATGTAGTCCTTAAAAATTAGCCTCGCAGCTGGAATTTATTCTTTATAAATACTTCGGTTGGAGATTAAATACATGTGTGGCTATTTCAGGTTTTCTGTACATTCCTGAGGAAGATTTATAAAAATGATATTTTTTTTTTATTTTCTTGACCATTTCAAATGTGTCAGTAGATCTGGTGTTTCTGTATTGAATGATTTGATTCTCAACGTGCAAAATAAGAGCTCACACTTTACAGACGTTACACACCCATCCACTACATGATTCCTAATTTAATGCAGTACTTTAAAATATTATACATTACTAGTAGACGTTAGTACATGTGCTTCGCATCGAAAAGAGAATGTGGAAGTGAAAGTGAGGTTCTCCAAATCTGCTGTATGTGGGTATGTAGTTATTCATCCCTAGTTTATTTTAGACACAACACTATATTTTACCGCCAAATTTTATATTACCTTTAAGAGTCCTTGGAGCCTAGACGTTCTAACTCATAAAACAATTAAAGAGCTGCAAAGAAAATTTCTAATCTCACAATATACTAGATATTTAAATCATAATCACTTTGGTGTTGAAAAAATAATTTTAGACGGTAAATAACTCTTCAGCGGCTTTTTTAAATTCACGAAATTAACATTGCTCTTATGGTGGGTAATTCCAAGATGGCCGTTAGCTTCCATGGACTTCCTTGGAGAACAATTCAAAACTACAAAGAACATTCCTAATCTCACACAATTGTATACCAGACTAGCTATTTATTATAATGACTTTGGAGGCCGTTAGCCTCCAAGGACTCTTAAACCTTATAAAGCCATATGTAGATTTCAGTTGTCGTGATTAACTTAAGCCAGATAACTGGATGGCCTACCTTCTTTTGCAAAAGAAGCCAGGACCACTAGATCACAGTTTTTTTTTGTTTTTGTGCCAAATTAAAAAAATATACTTTTCGTTACCCGCTGTGCCTTCAATTGAAGCGTTTCGTATGGAAGAGAGAGGCTATCATCCTAGAGGTTCTTCGTGGTCAGAAGGAGATATGTAACCCTCGTTTGTTGTTGAGTCCTTAATCTCCTGACAAATTAAATAGTCGCAGCAGTCTGGAAACCTCAAATTGGGACTTTTAAAGTAGATTGTGCAGCCCTTCTGCTTCCGAATAATTGGGCATCTGCAATGAGAAAATAATGCACAGATAACGAAATAAATAGGCATCTAATAGGAATACTTAGGTGTCTATCTGAGCAGTATTCGTAGTTGAAACTCATTACGATTGCAGGTTTGTCCTTGCGAAAAAAGTAGCTTTGGTTTGAAATTGTTCCTAGCTATAATTGGGCTTTTTAATAAATAGTAGTTTGCGTGAGGAACAACTGGCCTTATTCGGTCGAGA